GGCAGGGGCGCGAGGGTTTTGACGGAAATAACTGCCCCGGACCCTACCGCCAGGGTCTCTGGCTGTAGGGCTAGACAGGCTACCGCCAGGTGCCCTGGCGGTAGGGTGCGATGGAGGGGGACGGCGGCCGTTTCCGCGTGTTGACGTGGATAAGTACCCTACCACCAGGGGCCCTGGCGGTAGGCTGTCTAACCCTACTGTTAGAGGCCCTGACGGTAAGAAAAAGGATCAAATCCTGAGAAAATTTCAAACTAGGGTCAGATCCTAAAATTGTTTGTCAAAAGGGTCAAAACACGAAATTTTGTCCCCGGTAATAGTTGTAGTTGTTTTTTGGTGTCGTAGTGCTGTTTTTTTTAACTCTTTCGACCAAGTAAAATAACAAACGCTATCCGCGGTTTTGCAACCAACCACATGCTCGTATGTCTAACTCGTAGCACAGTCATCCGGCAGGTCTTTTTCCTACTCGGATAACTTTTGTAGCCTTTTTCGCGAAAAGAAGAGGGATAATAATAAGTTTTGTCACGGGGTGTTTGCGTTCTCCGTCAGAGACTCCGTTCCATGTAACGCAACACACACTGCATACTCGAGGACTCGTATCAACGGAGGAGATCGATCCCAAAGGGCGACCGGCTTGATCAGAATCAGAAGCCTACAAGGCTACGGGAACGGGAGTTGGTTCGGCGGCAGAAACTCGGGCCGCAAGGCACACGGGAGGAGGAGTTCGTGCTCCAAAAGATTCGCACTTGAGCTCTTCTGTAGTATTTTTTTATTTATTATATACTATTATTATTATACTCCCTAGCTTTTCGACCTTTTGTTGTTGTTGTCTCGTTCTTCTCTCCTGCGTGCGAAGGCCACAACCTAGAAGCCGCGGCCGCAGCTCTCTCTCCGCGCGCCGCCTGTGGCCGCCGGCGGCAACCAAGAGGTGAGAGCGTCTCTTTTCTTGTATCTCTGTTGTTTTTTTCCTGCTCTGGCAAGTGATTAGGTTCCCGATTAGTTCGATGATGCGGCGATCGACAGGCAGCTGTTCGTCTTTCAGCTCGATTTTTCTTCGGATTTTTCCCGGCGCTGCTGTTCCTCTGTTAGTGTTGGCGTGCTCTGCTGTTGAATCGGATCAAGTGATGTCGTGGAATCCGCCACTCTTTCTAGGGAGGGCCGCGTACTGGGGTTCTGTTGGGATTTTGGGAGGGGTTCACTTCAGGCCCTTGGATAATTTTTGCCTGGTTTCCCTGATGATGTCTGAACGGCTCGGTGTTTTTGCGGATGGAAGGCCGTAAAAAAGTTGCTACTCGAATGCTACCCTATGTAATTTGGTCGAGGAATTATCAACAACTACCAGAAGTTGGTGACGTCATGCAGATAGCTTTACTCATGGTTTAGTAGTGCTTTAGCCCGTCAGTCAGTCTCAACCCTGAACAACCAAAAATTGTCTGTTCGTGTTTCAGCTCGATTTTTTCTGCAATTTTTTCCGAGGCGTTGCTGTTCCCCTGTTAGTGTTGACGTGCTCTGCTGTTGAATCGGATCAACTGATGTTGTTGAATCCGTCAGTCCTTTTAGGGCCGCGTACCGGGGTTTTATTGGGATTTTGGGAGGAGTTCACTTCAGGCCCTTGTGGTTCGGTGGGTTTCAGAGGCTGTAGGCAGCAAAATATATGAACGGCTCCGTGGTTTCAGAGGCTGTAGGCAGCGACATAAAAAATTGCTCCTCAAATCAACGTAAAACCACATAAACGCCACAAATGTTACCCTGTGTTATTTGGTCGAGGGATTATCAACACCTACTAGCGGGAACAAGAGGCATGCCTATTTATTTTCAGTTAGTAGGTTATATGCGGAAAAAATTGTTTGCTGTAAGGTAGTTTCCTGCTAGTAGGTTATATTTAAAAATTGTTGGTAAATACTCCAATTTAGAGAACTTCAGTGCCAAATACTACAAGGTGGTGATCGTCGTGCCAAGAGCTTTATTCATGGTTTATTACGTCAGTGCTTTAGTCAGGAGTCAACCCTCGACTATGTGGTATGCGAGAATGTACAATCATGTGGGGTAAAATTAATGTTTTTCTGCTTAATAATGTTAAATTTTCTACCATTAAATGCAGAAACAGGATATTTATGCCTTTTTCTTGACACGGAAAGCCAATGGCGAGAGGACTGGATTCAGATTATATTGGTTCTATTTCGCTCATGGATGGATTTGATATGGGTATCACGTTTGATGGGTTTGGAGAAAATATGAAGAAGTTCATGGAGGTAGTGCCTTTCTTACCTTCACACTTAGCACAATTGTCTTGATTTTATTCCTACAGGTAGATATTTAGCATGACATATGATTTTTTGGCAATGCTTTGGTAGTGATTTGTCTTACATTTGACAGTTACCGATCAAATATCTTGATTCTGCTCACGATAAAGCTGTTGAGCTAGTTGAGGATATCCATGCGCTGATTTACGCTCACTCTCCTGATGATAAATTTCCGGACAAAGACCATGGGACATTAACTGATCCATCTAGTAACGGTACCATAACCGAGTCTCCCTCCACATGTGTTAAAATGCAGCAAGTTAACCCTAACGAAGAATTCTCTGGTTATCCTTCATCTCTCGTTACCGCGGAAGACCATTCTCTCGGCTCAACTGCTACTGATGTTCATGAAACAGAGTCGGTTTCATCTACAAGTCCAGGTTTGTCTCACACATAAGATTGCTTAGATTTCTGTTCCAGTTCCTTGTCATTTAGGGGCCGTTTCGATTGGTACCCCAAATTGCCCAGCCAATTTATTAGCGTTGACCACTCCCGTGGGCAAGTGCTTGGATGGAAGCCAATTATTTGGCGAGCCCCAACCTGCCCAGCCCCCTAGTTCAGCTTAACGTTGATTTTTACGCCAACGATTGGCAAACTGGTGGCGGGCGAAGGCTTCGCCAATGCTTTGGCAGGGTCAGTGCAGGCAGAAACCAAACAGGCCCTTAGCTTTCGTATTGATTGCCCAGAAACCAAACCTTGATGACACCATTGTTCTAACAGATCATATGGTTTATTCTCTTGCCTGCAGCCATGTGTGCTTCTGAAGACCCCATTTCACTTGAGAGAACTGCTGACACCAAGGAGGAAGTTACTTTTTGCAATTCAGAGGATCTCTCAGATAACTGCACTCCTGAAAATCACAATTCACTAGGGGGTTCTGATAGCAGTGACGAGGAAATTATATTATGGAATCAATGGAATTCTGTAACATCACGACAATATCCTGGTATGGGTTTATCTTTCCTTATCTTATTTACTCAGATCATAGAGGCCTTTCAATATAGACTTACATGTAATTGACTACTTGTGATGTAGCAAAGCATGGTTAGCTGTCTCAAATACTCCCTTCGTTCCAAAATATAAGTCTTTTTAGACATTTCAAATGGAATACAACATACGGATGTATGTAGACATATTTTAGATTGTAGATTCGCTCATTTTGCTCTGTATGTAGTCACTTGGTGAAATCTCTAGAAAGACTTATATTTACGAACGGAGGGAGTAGAAAATAGCTGTACTGTAATTTCTTCAGAATTATGGAGCCAAACCATTGCCACGTTACTGACTATAACATTTATTGTCCACTTCCTGCTGCCATCAATACTTCAATTCACCGACTGATTTTATTGAATTAATATGTCCTAACAGAACAAGCCACCGTAGTCCAAGATTATATATCTGAAGAAGCAAACGGAAATAAAATCATCGAGCAAGTTGAACTCCATGGTTCAGGACATTCAGGTAAACAATCAAGAAATTGTCATTTTGCTCATCTTTATCCTTGAGGGGGTACGCTGAGCTGAAAATAATCAATTTCAACAAGGAGCATTACTTGATTTTAATCTTAGCAAATAATGTCCTCTAATCCCTCAATTTTCATAATAATATTTATAAATGACTTTTATGTTTTGACAGTTGCTTTTGATGGAGCAATTCTGCTTGGAAAGGTAAATGGTGAAGAGCAATCAGAATTATGCAGTGCGAACAGCCATGAAGAATCAACAAAGCACGGTTTGTAGCTTTTTTTCCTTCCAAAATCTGAAATGTGTGAACATGACTTTATGTTTTTCCACAACATTTGAATCTGCTTCCAGAGAATGGCAAATAACGAAAAAATATATTCTGAATCTCTTAACTTATACAGACAATAATGTAATGCTTCTGTGTGCTAAATATAGGTTACATAAAGAATTTGTCTGTTGGGACTGTTTCACATTACTTGAGTGCAGAGGTGTTCACTGGTGCTGATGATCCAAATATGTCTACTGACGAGACCACGGATTTTGTTAATGTAGACCTCCGGGTTGGCCAGGAGCTGATGAAATATAACAAAGCAGATGCATCCTCAGTTCCTCAACCTAAAAACACATCATTCAAGGTACCAAGTACTTGAAATATGGTGGTACTGTGGTCATAATAAGAATTGGTTGCGGTAGTAGATTAATGCAATTACAGCATCATGTCCTTTTGTGTGAAATAACTAGGCTGTATTACTCTTTCTGAATTTATCTACTAAACATGCTTGGAGAAATTGCATTCGAAAGCAAATAAATATCTCATATATACTCATTTTGCTTGCTTTTATCGCCATTCTTCTTACTTTTTTTTTACTTTGTACGCAAAAGCATGGCAACCGATGTTTTCTCCTTGCAGAAAGTGTTGATGAGGAGCTTGTCAAATAAACTCCGGTGGTCAAAGAAGGATATGAATGTGCATCAGGCTGTCCCCTTTAGACCACAGAAATCAGTAGATATTTGCTATGAAGTCGTTTGTTCATCAGATGGTCTGGAGGATGATTGGGAACTCTTGTAAATCTGCACGAAATTCCGCGTCTCTGATTATAGGAGAAAATCTCGTGTAAACCAAAGTTCCTTGACTACTATCTCAAAGAATGCAAATGTTGAGGGTTTGCATCTCTACGGCACCATCTGTCGGTGTATCGGCATTACTGTAAATCTGAGCTGAGATTATGTAATTATGTAAAGCTCTTCTAGTTTTCTCTTCATGACCTGAATTTTGTACTGATCTGGTGCAGCCAAGGGTATCTGCAACAAGTTTTCAGCTGCTTATTCCCCCTATCTACTAGCATTTCAGTTTAAATATATGCAGATATCACATTTCCTCTGTTAATAAAAGAAAGTTACCATTTGCTCTTTGTATCAATTAGTTTTTTTGTTTGTTTGGACTAAACAGTTTCTTCCCATCTGAGCTGACGCTTAATGTTTCCCATAGGCCATAGCAAGTTAAAAATGTTACTCCCTTAGTAGTTACTTTTGGGGTCGGTTTGCGGCTGTTGAATCTATATATCTTATATAGACAAACCCCAGTAACAATCATGAATTGCTTTGCTGCATCCACAACCCTCCATGTGACCTTAATTGTCTCTGTAGCCGTCTGATTCAAAGCGTGCGCTGTAGATTTGTCCTCTCCTTGTCAACGTTTCTCCTCACAGTTTGTAACCGACGCCACTGGCCCACCACCAAATAAAATCGCTGATCCTATGCACAACTCACGTCATGACCTCCTTCCTCGCAAAGGCTATATCTTGCTTCACACGAGACGGAAGGATCTCTACTTGGGGCGAAACGAGCCTGGTTTCAACTAGTTTTTCCTGGTTTCCCAGTTTTTACTGGGTATTTTTCTTTCTTTTCTTTCTTTTTGCTTCATTTTTATTCGGTTTTCCCTGTTTTTTTGTTTCGTTTTCTTGTTTTTTCTTTGTTTCTTTCATTGCATTTATCAGTTTTTCATTTCTTACTCATTTTCCTTCTTTTTATCTTCGGGTTTTTTTTCTCTTGTTTTCAATGTGTTTTTTTGTTATTCTATGTTTCTTTATCGATTTTAACTGTTTTCCATTCTTTTTTGCACCTGTTTCTTTGGAATTATTTTTCATTCTGTTTTTTCTTTGGTTTCCATTTTTTTATTTTCTAGTTTTCATCTTTTGGTTTTCTTTGTTTCTTTAGCTTTTCATTATTCATTTTTTGTATATGTCAAGAAGATTTTTCTAATACACGTTTAACAGTTTTTAATACAAATTTAGCATTTTCTGAATACATGGTCAATATTTTTATACACATCTTTATTATTTTTCTAAATGCTTGATCAACATTTTTCAAATATGGATTTAACACTTTTTTAATGCATGGTCAACACTTTTTCTATACACATTCTTACCATTTTTCAAATGTTTGATTAACAATTATTCAAATACAAGATCAACATTATTTGAATATATGGTCAATATTTTTCCGATTTTGATCGGGCTATATTGGTTGACTATGTATATTAAAAAAAGAAATCAGATTTTTTTCTAGTATTTTTTTTGAATTACTATTCATAAGCAATGTGGGTGGAACCATATTCACCAAATTCGCGTCCGGCAAAAAGCAGGTGTATCAGAGACTATAAATAAACAAAAACTGGAGGGTAGATGGGATTAACACAATTCACCGCAATGCCAAAAATAGCAGAAGCCAAATGACATTGTACTTTATTGATATCTTATCCACAGCTGAAAAAAATCAATACCACACATCCATCAATCATTTGGTGACGTATGTATGATCGACGAACTATAGTCCAGTACTTAACATAACTTGATTGGCCTCTCTCAAATAAAACAAAACAACATAAGCAGTTGGTGAATGCAAAAGCCCCTCCGGCAAGCTGGCCGGCATCGGTCAAGCTGTTGGGTAGAAGGGCGAAGTGGCGAGATCGCAGGTGCCCGTCCGCCATGACACGTCCTTGGCGAGGTAAATGTAGCCCTAGTCACCCCAGCCGTTGCTCCACAAGTTCTTGGCGATCCAGTACTTGTTCTCGCCGGGACCTTCACTGTAGCCGACAATGATGACGGCATGGTTCACCCTCGACGCTTCACAGTGGCGGAGGTAGGGGGTGGACAGGGTGGGCCACGGCCCACCCTGAGATATGGAAATAGCCTCTATAGTATTGTAGCATAAAGGCCAAAAAATAGAAGAAAAGATAAATATATATGTAAATTACACTATTGGCCCACCCTGGCCCAGTGGGCTAGGTCCGCCACTGACGCCTCGGATGAGCAAGGGAAGCGATAGATACCACAGGTGTACAACTGAAACTCCCACGTGATGGCGTCGATGTACACCGTCACGGACTGCCGCGCCACGGCAAGCGCTAGCTGATTCTCGTCGTTGGGCGGCACGGCCTTGGCAGACATGCAACTGCGCCCCTTTCCCACTATCCTTCGACATAACAAAAAGGTCAATTGCAGTCGTTTGTGTAGGCATGCAGTTGCAATCGAGGACAACATTTATAGTTACATGCCAAGTGACAAACATGCAACTGCCCCCCTCTCGCACCGTCCTTCGAGAAAACAAAGACCAGTTGCAGTTGAGGGCAACAATTTTTTAGTTGCATGCCTACTGTCAGACATGTAACTGCTTCCTCTCTCCCACCGCCCTCTGATAAAACAAATGCCAGTTGCAAACAAGGGCAACACTTGAAGTTGCATGCCTAGTGGCAGGCATGCAACTGCCC